CGTATGAGCAACTGAACGAAACCAAAATCAATTTCATTCAAGCACCCGCTCAAAGAGATTACAGATTAAGCTGATTTATGTTCGTGCTTAATTCTTTTAGTACCATAATAAACTGAAAGTGACAGTGCAATAGAAGTGTTAAATCATTTCATATAACTCACCGTCATTACTGATTTTACCGATGTTCATCTGGCGATTGTATTGAGAATCGCGTTGTTGTTGATTACGATGCGATGAGGTGCCTTTCGGCGGTTCATCACCAACCAACTTGGGTTGTTGTTGGGACGGAATATGGCCTAGACTGTGCTCAATTTGAGCGTGATGAGAGGCCAGCGGACCAAGTTCCTTCAAATGATGAAGCGGTGGTATCATTTTATCGGTGTTGATAATCATGCATTGTTAAAAACAACAAAAACAACGATCTTTTATAAACCACTCATCATAACCACACATTTTAAGCAATCAAAACGTTTACAACTGTGAACTCTCGAAGTGATCCATTTTCAGAATGGAATTTTTCTTACTTTAGAAATTTCTTTCATCGTTTCCAGTGATCCCTTTACGGCAGCTTCACTGAACACTTCGTCGTTTACTGAAAATGTTTTGGCTCAATGAAATGATCAACATCAACTTTACATACTTGAAAAAATTAGAGAGGTAATTGTTGTTTCGAAATGAGGAAATTTTTTACTTTAGTTACTGTTTCAAGCAGAAGAATTTTTTCGAGTGTTATCACATTCGAAATATTTGTTTCATCAGGAAAACTCAATTGGTCATTTCAAATGAGATGGTATACAAAAAATTTACGCTCATCTCTGTTGTCTCGTGATCATGTCAAATTCTGAGAAACTTACCACACATGAAAATAAGACTCAAGTATTTGTGCACTCCATATGGACATGGATTTCCGAAGAAATGGTCATTGATCGCCAGTGAGCATTCGGTTTGTGCGTGACAATCGTGTAATAACCTTCCCAAAACGTCCAAAACACAATCTGCAAATCACATTTCCTCTGAATCAAACATGAACCGTAAATTTGAGAAGATATCCTAAATTCATTCATTTTGCTTAGTCATACACAATCGTAATCTCAGTTTCCTACCCTGAAAACGATCTTCCAAAAGTTTATTCTCTTCAAGACACTTTGCAACTAATATTTTCGCACTATTCGCGTGTATGTTTTCATATCGTTGCCCTGAATTTACTTTAATGCTAACATTCTGGCTGCCACCAGCAATTTCTCCTTAAGCTTTCCACTAATAAGATTATCTGTAAAAGATGTCATCGGTTTGATCATCATCATGATCGTAGATTGATTTAATTAATGCAATAGATTGTTTTTGCGGTTGGCTCATCTCTTGTTGTTAAATGACGTCTCGTAAGCTATCTAAA